CTGGAGCCCAGGGGCCACCGGTTGGATAGCCCTGCTGTATTGCAAGTGGCCATGTGACTGTGGGTCATTCTTTGTGGGGACCTGAGCCCCAAGTGCAAGTGGAGGGGGAGGGGTTTCTGAAACAGGAGGAACTTGGGAGAATGCCGCCCCTCTTTTTCTCCCCCTATAGCATGGCTTATCTACATGGAGTGAGAGAGCCCGGCTTGGCATTCTGATCCGAAATGCTGCACACACTGTGCTCAGGAGTGTGATAGGGCTCACAGAGAGCCCCTGAAACTAGCACTGCCTGTTCTCTAGAGCCCATCCATGGAGGCTGATTGCCCTTCCTCCCCCTATCTGGCACCCCTGTCCTGGCTAACATCCCCGTCAAAAAAATTCCTGCCCATCTGATTTCCCTGTGTCCCCAGGGGCTTCAGCGTGACATCCGGAGGGAAGACGCGCATCTTCAAACCCATCTCCGTCCAGACCATGTGGTGAGTGACCTCCCACTGCCCATTGAACACAGCTAGTGGAAGCAGTAGGATGTGGGGGAGGTGGGGAGCAGCTGGGGTACAGGGCTGAAAGGCAGCAGCGGGCTGGGAGAAGGGTGGAATGTCATTGTAGCTAGGATCCCTACTAGGACAAAGGATTTGGGAAGGTGGAGCCCAATACTAGAGTCCTGTGGTGTGTGGTCAGTGTAATGGGTAGGTTTAAGGCCCATTCCTCCCCAGACACAGCAGAGGGTAGGGTTGGGCCCTATCTGGGGTCTCCCTCACCCATCTCTCAGGCAGGGCTGAGGTCCTGGCTCAAGTATTTTAGATGAGATTTAGTCTTTCTATTTGTCCTTCCCCAGGTCAGTGCTACAGGTGCTGCACAAGGCATGCAATGATGCTATCCAGAACAACCACTTCCCCGGGGGCAGCGCATTGGGCTGGGCCGAGCGGTACCAGTGCACTGTGGCCTCAGAGCAGAGCTGCATCAACGAATGGCTGGCCATGTCTGACCTGGAGTCCGTGAGGCCAGACTCTTTCTGCTCTGACAAGTCAGTGCCAGACCCTCAGGGGCCACGTAAGGGGTGGGACCTCCATACTGTGTACCCCACCCCACAATGGAGCCCCACTTGTCCCCTGCCATCTGGGGGGCAGGCAACGCCTCCACCTCAGCATCCAATGGGGTTCCTTGATGAGGCGGGGCTGCAGCTGAGGTTAGCCAGTGCCACACGCTGATTGGCAGATATTGAGCTCCTTCCCCATTGCAAGAGCATCGGGATTTAATCCCCCCAACCCTTCCTGGGCAGTGAATTGGTTGGGCTGCTGAGGGGGCAGAGCTTGAAAGGGAGAGAGGAGGGTGACGGACAAGAAGATGAAGCCTGGGACGAGCAGCACACCGACATCCCTCATGTTTATATGCCCCCAGGCCGACAGAGCGTGTGGTGACAGAGAAGATGATCCGAGCAAAGCTACGTGAGGTGATGGCTACTGCTGATCTGGAGAGTATCACTGCCAAAGAGGTGAGAGTAGGCAGACAGAGGGGCAAGGGGCTCGGATGGAAGATGGGACTTGGAATTAAGTAGGTCGAAAGAGGAAGAATGCTCCAGCTCCCTACCACCACCACTGCCACCATGGGGCTGGAGCAAGGTATCCTAGCTCATTGGCTCCTCCCCATGGCAGATCCGTACCGAACTCGAGTGCCGCACTAACTGCAGCCTGGCTGAGTACAAGGAGTTCATTGACAATGAGATGTTGCTCATCATGGCCCAGATGGACCGGCCCTCCAGGATCTTCGACCACCTCTACCTGGTGAGCAGGGTTGCCAACCCCAGATTTATTTTTTTTACTGACAATCTGCAAACTTTTTACTGACAACCAAAATTTTTACTGACATATGTTTTATGTAATATAGCTATAAGCCTGCCAGGCCCTGGATGGCAGTAACAAGGGCTGGGCTCAAATTTAGCAGTTTTTAACACCAACTTTCCTGGGAAAGAGAGAAACATGGGAAACCAGAAACCTACCTCACCCCCACACCCTGATATCCCTGACTGCACCCTGCATCCTGCTGCCCTCACCCAAGGCCACCACTCAAACTTTACCCCTGCTGGCCCAAGCAAGGAAGCACGAGCAGCACAGTTGTGCCTATCTGTGTGTGCCCATGACAATGTGGGCATCAGGAACAGCCCTGAACCCAGTCAAGGGGTCTCCATCCCTCTGTATTCACCCTAATGCCTCTCTCTAGGGCTCTGAGTGGAATGCTGCCAACCTGGAGGAGCTGCAGCGCAACAGGTGTGTGCAGGTGGGGGTGGGCACAGAGATGTGGAGTCTGCATGGGTATGTCTGTTGCCCTCTAATGGCTGGAGTGGGTATTGCAGTTTGGTCCTAGGGGCTGGATTCTTTTGTTCTGCTGATAGCAATCTCTCCCTGCAGAGTCAGATGTCAAAAGCCACCTTGTCTAGGCAGGGGCACCCACGTAGAGAGTTCAGGGCTGGTCCTCACCTCCTCCCTGAACAGGGCACACAGAAAATACCAGCCACAGCATTGGGTGGATTCTGTCCCCAGCCTGGACAGGGCTGATTGACTTGGGTTCTGTCCTTACCCCTTACACTTTGAACTACCCTTCCCTTTGTCCAGCCTTACCAAGGGGAGCAGTTCTGGGGTACAGCAGAGGAAAGCACATCTTTAGGATGCCTGCCACCCTGGGTGCCTGATGTGGGGGTCTTCAGGTGGGGGTGGAGTCTTCCTAATGCCCCCCATATATTTCAGAGTCACTCACATCTTGAACGTGACCCGTGAGATTGACAACTTCTTCCCTGCCCTGTTCACCTATATGAATGTACGGCTCTATGATGAAGAGGCCTCCCAGCTCCTGCCCCACTGGAAGGAGACATTTCGCTTCATCTCCGATGTCCGGTGAGCCTCCAGGGCCATGCACACCCTCACAACTCCCAGCTGTGAGTCAGCCAGTCTCCCTTCCTGTGTCTGGCTGCACTGAGGGCTGGAAAATGGCAAAATGCCTTGTCTGCTACACAGGACATTGCAAAAGGGCAAGCACAGGAAAGGTGTGTTCTAGGGCACGTGTGGGAAGAATCAGACATACCCTGGGGTATGTGTGGGCACCAGCATTGGGGC